CCCCAAAACCCCAAAACCCCAAAACCCCAATTCAATAAAATCTTATTGAATCAACTTGCTCTACAGATACACATGTTATGGAATTATTGATGAATCCAAAGAAATTATAAATGAGGACTTCTTAATGATCTCTTCATTACCTTCTGTCGATAATTGCTGATGTCTACCGAAGGGTTCGGTTTTTCCTTGAAATTGCTCTGCAATTTACTTAACTTAGCTTTAAAAGCCATATCTGATCGGGATACATCAGAAGGCTTGATCGGCTCCTTCCTGAGCTTAGGCATGACCTTTTCTCTTCTCTTTAATCCTTGTTTGCTTGATTTTTTCTTACAAAATTTGGAATAAATATCTCTCCAAAAGTTGATGAACACTATTACGAAAACGATCACATTGTTTGCAAGCAAAATCATCAATCCTCAATCTGTTAAAGTTGAGTTCCAATCAGATTTATTGAGAGAGAATAAAGCTATTAAGTAAGCACAGATGAAACTCTGGTTGACTATTTCAATGATTGAAGTCCTTGCCAGCATGAATGGTCTGATCTTAATCATATAGACTATATATCATATTTCGAATAGAAACAGGATGGAAGTGCTTCCTTTGGGGTCAAACTCTTGAAGTCAGACCAGAGATATAACAGCTAGAAATCTGTTCATTAGCCAAACTTGGGTGAATGCCTTTGCTGCTCTTTCCTCTTTGATTCCTGTGTAAAGTTCAATGAAAATCTCTGTGAGTTTCATGTCTGATTTGGTATATTTTCAAAAATGGAAGATAACAAAGAAGCAGAATATCAATCAGAAGGCTAGGATGCCATAGCTGAAGTATAGAGATATTTCCTCATTCAACTTCCTTGCCCTGAAACTATAAATTTCAATACAAGAAGTCAGAGTTAGAGATGTGAATGATTCTATCAGAAGTCTAACGAAGAGGTTGAAAATCAGGATCTTTTTGATAACAGAGATACCACCTTTGAGCCATTTGTTACATTTACATCTCTGAGGGTTGATGGGGATCAACGAGAGGATATAGACTATCAAAGCAAGGAATAGCACAAAAATAAAGGTTAGAAACAAGCTCATATTTGTCCTTAATGAACTGGAATATTCAAACCCTATTTCTTCCATTTCATTGCTTTCTTGTTTCATTTCAAAATAGTTGTAAGTATTGCTAAGATATGGAAAATTTTCAAATTTGAAGAAGCCTAGACTAATCATTGATGAGGCTGATGCAGTCAGGTATTTGATAATTTCACCAGGAATATAAGTATTCACAAGTATTAGTAACAAAAGGAACTGTAAATGGTTCAACATTACCCAAATTAACACTGGGGAGCTAATAGATATCAGTGATGAGATGACAACCAACGCAGCTGCAATTGACTAGAGAGATATCCCAACTGTGGAAGCAGCTTCTGCTTGACTGACATCAGTTTTCTTTCATTTGTCTCCTTCATAATAAATCTCACATTGCTTACATCTATTGTAATTATCTGAGTATCATTTTTCTCAGTTTGTGACATTTCACTTTAGAACAGTGAAATAGATGAGTTTATTCCTTGGAGATTGCCAGCCAGTCACAAATGTTTCAATAGCGGCAGAATAGGTTTTATTATCATCATTTGGAGCAGTATAGCTGATTATCCCACTTGCAGAATCAAAAGTTATCCATGAAGGGTAGCTCCCAGAATTGGTATTTATAAGAGTCAGAGTCACTAAGCTTGAATCACATGCTTGGGTGAGGCTAAGTTGAACCAGCCCCTGAGAATTAGAAACTAGGAAGAAGGTCTCTGTAGTAAGGTTATAGATAATCTTTGTCTTGAATACTAAACCTGGGCTATAACTGCTTGGCCAATTAGTATCAATCTCATCTGCAGTATCTGAAAGAGTAATTGAGATTGAGGTAAGTGTCGTAGCAGAGCTAGTATTGAATGTAAGACTTTATAGCAAATATAAAGTGCAGAATGCAACAAGAATTTAACATTGAGGGATCTACTTATCTTTATTAAGAATACTATTTGATATCTTAATTAGAGTTCCTTTGAAGATATGTAAAGTTTAAAATGCTTTGATAGAGTTTTCGTAGTTGTTAAAATATTCCTAAATTAACTTGCTCGAAAAATAAATTTGATAAAATTTTGAAGCTCAGATTTACTATCTTGATTTAGTTGGATCTTCACATGTTTATATTAATTTCAACTAGACTTACCTAAAAGACTTTATTTGATAAGTAGGATCAGTTGAGTTTAATTGCTGATATGCTACAGTGCTGTTGTACTCAAAATCTCCATGGAATTGAAGAGTATCAAAAGTCCCAGAGAGTCTTGTAGCATATGTTGCTGAAGATTTTCCTCCCATTATCAACTTGCCAGATCTGAAATAGAGGCTCAATAAGCCAATCCTGCTAACGAGTTGTTTGATGGAGTCAATTTTGTGCGTACTAGAGTCATATTTAAGGATTATATCTCCCTCTGTTCACTCTAAAATAACATAGACAGATAAGTTATCTTCAATAGCTCTTTTGGATAATCTACAGGAAGGAAATACCAAAGCTGTAGATCCACCAGAAGCAGAGCCTGTTAGAGCTTCAATCTCTAAAATGATAGTTTTCTCTGGAGTCCCAAACACCAAAGCTGATACGACAACATTCTTTGAACTAATATAAACTCCCCTGGATCTTTTTATGTGTCAATTTGAGGTTGGTCAGTCGATGTATTTCTCCCAAATTGGGCTATCTGTCGAAAAATTGATAGTTTTCAGGTACAAGGAGGTTAGTATTTGATTTTTCATCATCAATAAATAAGTTTGATTGAGAAATATCACGAAATGTAAGGAAAACTTACTGTTTCAAAATATTTAGCATACATGTGGTAAAAATTTTAGATATATCTTAATAAAAACATTTTATATCATTACCTATAAAGTTTAGTAGCAGGATTGGCATCATATCCAGCGATATAAACTTGAGAGTCACTCAGGGGAATCATATTATAAGCATAATCATTTAAATCAGCTGTTGTGAGTCACTTCGTGCTCATATCTGAAGGATCTGTTTTATAAATTCCTCCTGTCCCTGGACCTCCAAATTTTCAGGAAACGAAGATATAGGAGTTATGAATGATCATAATAAGTACCTTCAATGTCTCCTAGTAGAGCATTTATGCGAACAAGTTTGTGGTTGCTCCCAGGTGACTGGTAGGCTTGAAAAATAGCAGATTCTTCAGGGAGGATAGATAGGAATAGATGAGGGTTTTTGTGTCGTAGAGTTTGGCCCAAAGTGTGGTAGGGTTATTGGGGGGGCTGGTTTGGGGGGTTAAGAGTGGATTTGAATGGATTTGGGGGGAAATTTGGTTTTTGGTTGGGATTTATTTTTGGAAGTTTTAGATGGGTTTCTGACTATAAATTTTGGAAGGATGAAAGGAGAATGTTTGGAATTGATGGTATAATATTGTATCGTTGATTTTACAAAATTGGTTATTGAAAGGGTCAAAATTTGATTAACCAAAAATGTATACTCAATGAACCTCAAAAACCAGTCTACTCCCTTGGCCCAATAATATCTTCAGACAGATAATTTTGTCTGACATGAACAGTACGATCAGTACCTCCAGAATGGCTATGATCCATCATGATGTATTCATCTCCGGATATCTATAGAGTTGCTAAATATGCCTGGAAGGACTTACCGGGCCCTGTATCATGCCAGCTGCATAGAAGCTAGAGACACCTATATTGATCAGGGTTGTGCTTACTGGAGCCTGAAGTAAAGACTTCTTTAAATCAATGTCTTTGTAGTCCCTCAATCAGATTTGACCAAGTTAACGAGGAGAAGGAGGACTAAGAAGTAAGCAGAAGGCATGATTTTATAGAAAATTTATTATTTATTCCCGATTTTCAATGACAGAAGTAAAGGTTGGGGTTTTGGGGTTTTGGGGTTTTGGGG